TGTGCCCTAGTCTCATCGTCTATTCTTCTGGCCCAAATGGCCGTGCCCGGTGGCGCTCTGTGGCTAAGCACGAACGCGAACATGGCTCTCACGTTCTGGTCCGCATCGATCTCTGTCACGTGTTATTGCACGCTGGGTATCATCATCAAGCTGCTTTACATGCGGTACCAAGTCCGCAAGGCCTTCGGTGGCGGCGAGCAGTTGCCCTACTTTTCTGTTGCGGCCATGCTCATCGAGTCTGCACTGCTATACGCGGCGTTCGCGCTCGCATTCCTCGTCACGTATGCGCTGAGCAATAGGATAAGTTTCATGCTTATATCAATCTTGGGCCAGGCGCAGGTGAGCTTGACAGACACTTTGGTGCTTTCACCGCGATAAAACTTACATATGCTAGTCTATTGCGCCGCTGCTCATCGTCTTACGCGTCGCGCAAGGACGTGGCTGGACACTCGCGAAGGTCAGGGAGACGGAGCGGCTTGCAATGGGCACCCACGGCACACAGACTCTTCAATTCCATCGGACCACGCACAGTACGGTCGACGAATCTGGTACCACTCCCGGTGCTACCGAGAACGTTGGTGAGATGGAATTCGCAGGGAGAAGCGTAGCCACTCTGCCCAAGAAAGCTTCGACAAGTCAGCTGGAGCGCGTTGCCGACATTGTCGCTGGTTGCGGCCCGAACGAGGGGAATGTGAACAATGTCTAATGCAGTGACGGGTTCTGGCTATCAACTATGCAGGCCTTGTCATGTGGCTTGTTTTCTTCCGTGCGCTACTTGCTCTCTATTTATGCACATTACACTATTATTTCTGTACCCTCAGTGTTGTCTCCTAAGCAAATAATGCATGTCTAGTCGTCCTTTCTGCGACCTACGTACGTTCTCACCATCTACATCGAATAAGATGGAGCACGCGTGCCTGTGTGCACAAGCTCCAACCTGAAAGCGAACGATACAACGCGCATGTGCGGAATGAATCACGGCACCGCCGCGTACACCTGCATCGGCGCGCACCGCTCAGGGTGTTTGTGACCTGGCATCGTGACGGCTAATAGGATAAAGAAGATGGTCCGCAGAACTGGTTTCCAACGCTTTCATGCGGGAAATTTCAGGGAGCTCTGATAATCCCATGGCTCCTGCGGCTTCTGACAATGCCACCGCAGAGCACGTTAGACCAGTAGTTTCCCCGGAGCGAACGCATCACATGAGCCACATCTTCGATCCTGACCATCTATCCCACGACGGACACGACAGAGCGACCTTGCAGGGCCCTGCCGTTCTCCACTTCGCATTCGATACCCCCAACAAGCTCGAGCCGGGAAGCAGGAAGGTGTTCTCTCCAGACAGGTTGTTGTTTCGACAGAGGTCGGCGACTGGGGACCATATTCGGAATCAGACGAACAATGCCACCTGGAAAAAGAGAATACACGGGCTTATCGAGAAGCTTCGTCATCAAAAAAATCCAAACTTATCAGATAATGATTTGCGATTTTCTGCGTCCACGTCGCGTGCAGAGGGTGGAGGGCGCGGTCGTGACTCGTGATCGCGTCCTCTGAACACGCCAAGTCACGAGTCGCGACCGCTTACGTCAGCAAACTGCCTTACTTTTGGCAGCAGGCAATGTGAGTCGAGCTGCTCGAGACTAAGGTTCTCAAACGTAGGGATATGGCAATAGGAGTTTTCAAGAGGCTATGCATGATTTTGGGAGCCGCTGGAATTCTCAAGCAGCTCGTCCTCTCACAGTCTGCTCGACAGCGCTCGTCAGGTATGTGACGTCACCTGACAATGCGCTTGGGTTCTAACCACGATGTTAACAGCTTTCCACTGTACCCTCATCTCGCTTGCCTCGCCTACACGTAGTCTACAACCTATCCAAAAATGCCAGGAGGAATCAGATATTTGACGGCCAAACTCGCTCAGCAGGTTCGTGTCGTGCCTAAACCGGCAAGACCAGTACTAGTTTGAACTGACTTCGTGAACCGGCGAGCCAGATTGACGAAGAGCTCATGAGCGCAACTGGTGCATTCAGCTTGGATCAAGTAATATCCTGGGCGTACTGCGACGTGCTATTTCTGAGAGTGTTCCCTGCAGCTGATGGAGCTCGCTGGGCTCGCCTGTGCTCAAGCGGTATCAACATGCTACAAGAAAGAGACGCACCCGCGCGTGCTTGTCTGCTGTGGGCCGGGAAACCAAGGTGGGGACGGTCTTGTGGCGGCGCGTCACCTGGGTGAGTGAGGAAGCTCATACATCCTCGATGTCTAAAGCTTACCTGTTCGAACACCAGGGATGTTCGGTTACAATCCTACCGTGTGGTATCCGAAGGTGAACCAGCTTTGCCGTCCAGCATGCGTTGTGTAGCTGACATCTCTCTGCAGCCGGGTTCTAAAGTGATTTATCAGGTAGCCCTACCTTATATGGAGAGGGATAACTTACGCTGAGCCTTACCCAGCATCTTCAAACTCAATGCCGCAACATGCACATCCCGATCCTCGCACCGTCTGCAGACGTCTCTCCGTTGCGCGACGCGCTCGCGCGCTCTGATGTCGTGCTCGACGCCATTTTTGGCTTCTCATTCAAGCCGCCCGTGCGTGCGCCGTTCGACGACGCGCTGAAGCTCATCACGGACTCGAAGCTGCCTATTGTCTCTGTGGACATTCCGTCCGGTTGGGATGTCGAGAAGGGCAACGAGGCAGACGTAGGTCTGAACCCAGATGTCCTAATCAGTCTCACTGCGCCCAAGGAAGGCGCACGCAAGTTCCAAGGCAGACACTTCCTTGGCGGCCGGTTCGTGACCAAGTAAGCGACAGAACCCTATCCGTGCCAGTATTTCTCATACACGAATAATGTAGGGCCATGGCAGAGAAGTTCAACTTGGACTTGCCGGAGTATCCTGGATTTGACCAGATCGTCCAGCTGTCGCCTGGCGCGCCGGGAAAGCTCTAGGTTAAGCAGCACAAAGAAAGCAGCCACAAGAATGTACAGTTTCGTGCATCTAAACTTTCACTTTGTTTTGTCGTAGCAAGGCTGAGGCGAACCACGGCGAACGTGGCACGAAAGACCTGGGAAACCTCTGACCGCTCGCCGGACTAAGATTCAGCGTTGAGAGCCTGGCAGCGGTTGACAGCTGAGCGAACCACAACATTTCGAGTCCAACAATGCCAACAAATTCCCAAGTGGGTCTCACAGGTTGAATATGCAGCAGGCCCTTGGCAGTAATCAGTCGCCTGAAGTGTACCTTTATAACACCCGGAGATCGTCTCAGGACAACGGCACGCTGAACCGAGTCAGAACGGTTGCCGAGGATTGTCCAGTACCACCTCTATCTGTGGATAGCCGGCGCAGCCAACGCTAGTCTCTTCGTCGTTATCATAAAAGCTAAAATATTGTTGCCTCTGGATGCTTTTGGTACCATCGATACGACTTAGCCCCGCCTATCCCTGTCTTCTCTTACTATTGAATCTTTACGATCACTGCCACAAGATGGTGTTCTACATGTCGCGAGCTTCTTCGCGCGTATTGTGAGCTCGCGCAAGCCGCGCCTGGCCGTGCGAGGCGATCGCGGGCGTGGCACGTGACTGCCGCTCTCGTAATGGAATTCGGACGCGGTCTTGCGACATACCAGGTCCTAATAGAGGCACTCTGTCTCCGAACTCTGCCTCCGTGCACCATATAACACCCCACACAAAAACTGGCTTCGCGTCTCGCTATCGCTGTCCTTTCCTCCTCCCCTCGTCTCCCTCCCCACAGCATACTCTCTCCAGCTTTCAGACTCTCCCAGGTACGCCCCCGTCTGCCTCCGCTGCAGCCCCTCTGACACGTCGCCGCCTAAGGTTGTACGAGCATTTGCAAGCAGTTCCGTAGTCAGCATGCCGCCCATCAGCCAACCCAAGCACACGGAGTACGACATCGTCTTCATTGGCGGAGGTAGTGGAGGTGTCGCGGGTTCGGTGCGTCTCGTGTCTTTTGTGCTGGAATGTTGGCTCAGGGGTTATTGACAGCGTCGCGCGGCGGCCCATGGGGCCAAGGTCGCTCTCATCGAGTCTACCCCTACGCTCGGCGGTACCTGCGTCAAAGTCGGTGAGTTGCCTTTGTCATCTAATGCTGCAAGGCCTTGTACGGCGCACCGCAGTCCGGCCCCGGTGATCCGTATTCCTGAGCTCGCCATAAGGGCGCGTGTCTGCCGTACCGTCTTGTCTTCCGCCCTGCATCTCTCTATCTGTATGCTGACGTGCTGTTCGTTGCAGGATGTGTCCCAAAGAAGGTATGTCGCGGCTTGCGATGAACGACGAACGCGTGAGACTAAAGTATTTGCCAGATCATGTGGCATGCTGCAGATATCGCGGACAAGATTAGGCATGCCCAGGGTTACAAGTTCAAGGGGCCCGGCATCGGTGAACCCCAATTCGACTGGAAGGCCTTCAAGCCCCAGCGCGATGCTTACATCCGTCGCCTGAATGGTATCTACGACAACAACGTCACAAAGGAGGGCGTTGACTACTTCGAAGGCTTTGCGCGGCTCAACTCTCCGTCCGAAGTTGAGATCGCCGGCTCGGACGGCAACAAGATCACGCTCAAGACAAAGTACATTTGCGTTGCAACTGGCGGGCGCCCGACGGTCCCTTCCGACGAGCAGATTCCCGGCGCGTCGCTCGGCATCGACTCGGACGGCTTCTTCGACCTCGAGGATCAGCCCAAGCGCGTCGCAGTTGTCGGTGCGGGCTACATCGCCGTTGAGCTCGCGGGCGTGTTCAACACGCTCGGCTCCGAGACGCACCTGGTCATCCGCCACGAAAACTTCCTGCGCACGTTCGACCCCACCGTCTATGAGACCCTTGGCAACTGGGCCACCCACACGGGCATCCACATTCACAAGAAGTCGCATGTGACCAAGGTCGAGGGCACGAAGGGCGGACCCCTCACGGTGCACACCGACCACGGCGACAAGATTGAGGTCGATTGCCTCCTCTGGGCGATCGGCCGCCATGCGAATACCGAAGGGCTCGGGCTTGAGAAGCTTGGCGTGGCGCTGAACAAGAAGGGGGAGATCGTCACGAATGAGTACCAGGAATCAAACGTGCCCGGCATTCTCTCTGTCGGTGATGTCCAGGGCCGTGTCCTCCTCACCCCCGTCGCGATCGCTGCTGGCAGAAAGCTCTCGAACAGACTGTTCGGCCCGCAGAAGTTCAAGAACGACAAGCTTGACTATGAGAACATCGCCACCGTCGTCTTCTCGTGCGTCGTTGCATTTTTGGCACACTGTCGGTCTGTCCCTGACATGAACTAGTCACCCGCCCATCGGCACCGTCGGTCTCACTGAGCCAGAGGCTATCGAAAAGTACGGCAAGGATAACATCAAAATCTGTGCGCATTCCATATTATCTTCCTTTTTCTCCCTTGTTAATGTCTGCCGCAGACAAGTCCTCCTTCCGCGCGCTCTACTTCAGCCAGGTGCCCGAGGAAGAAAAGGAGCCGTCGGTGCACAAGGTGGTCGTCGCTGGGCCAGAGGAGAAGGTTGTCGGCATCCACACCATCGGCCTCGGAAGCGACGAAATCATCCAGGGCTTTGCAGTCGCGGTCAAGATGGGCGCGACGAAGGACGACCTCGACAACACGGTTGCTATTCACCCGACATCGGGCGAAGGTACGTGGTTTCATCTGCAGCTTTATGTTTTATGCAACCGACTAAAGGGCGATGTAGAGCTTGTTACACTGAAGTGAGAATATATCAATGCCGTAGAAAGAAGTTGTATTATAGATACCGGGTGAATACCATACCTGTTCCGTCGGTGTATGCCGCGAGGAAAGTCTGCAGCGCAGTGCTAGTTACTGAAGCCAGTCGATATCGGAGAAAGCAGCAAACGGTCAGCCGTATGCCTCTCCGCTCAGATCCCTCGCGTTATCAAGTCTACGCTCAGAAATTGTAAGTTGATAACCGTGCGTTGGCCTGGAAGGTCTGCACTTGAGTCGGGGACTCAGATGCGTGACTCGGAGACGGACGGCATATAAAACACAGTCTTATGAGGAATTTCGCACTCGTGACCACTTCTTTCTGCGATGTGCTGGCCGAAGTCCTGGTGCATGGCAATTTGGAGGTACGCCTTCGCGACTTGAAGTTGCTGAGCTGTCACACTCGCACTTTGTTTGCATCAAGCCTTGGAGGCTCAGTGAGCCAGCACCTACAGCACCGCCGCAGCCTATCATGCGTATGCACTACGTGCCGTTCACGTTCGAGATGGAACCTGAGCGAGTCGCGTGCGGGATATTGCTCGGCATAGAAGACAAGAAGGTAGGCAGGTCATAGATCAGGCGGCTGCTTGAGAAAAGAGGCGAATAATGATAGTATATTAACAGATATCGTGTCCGTACTGAGAGCAACAAGTGACATGCAAGTTGGCATCGCGCACCGAACATCGTGTGGCTGAGTCTACATGAATAATGTCTGAGTCCCTGCACCTGCTCTATCATACGTTGCTTGGGGGTTCCCCGTTTGGGTAGTGCTCAGCTACGGTGTCAACGACATGTTCCAGCTGAGCTCCCTTGAATTCTTTCCCGGACAATGAAGCTACGCTTCCCTCTGCACATTCCATTTCGCCAGGGTTCGTGGCAGAATCGGCAACAGTAGCAGATCCATTGGCGGTGCTGTGTGTGGGATGATGGAACTTGATAGTCTGCGTGCCATAGGTATTCATCGCCAACCGTTCCGTTTCCCTGACTTTGGCGATCGTCCAGCCACGTCCTTGTGCGACACGCAGGACGATGAGCAGCGGTGCGATAGACTGGCAAGACGTGGATCGTAAAAAAGAACAGCATAGAAGTCTTGGCGGAGCGCACCTGCACCTGGCCCAGCATCGAAAAAAGCATGAGACTCGCAGTGTTACCTTCGGCGTATGTGATCAGGAACGAGAGCGCGAACGCTGCGTAGAGCAACGCAGACTCGATGAGCATAGCAGCGGCGGAGAAATATGGCGAATCAGGCTCGTTGGCACTGAAGACCTTGCGGATCTGATGACGCATATAAAGTAGCTTGGCAACGATGCCGAGCGTGCAGTAGCACGTGACGGAGATGGACGCAGACCAGAAGGTGAGGGCCATGTTGGCACTGGAGCTTATCCAGAGAGCACCTCCGGGGTCGGCAATCTGGGAGAGAAGGATGGAAGACGAAACTAAGGTATCTGGATGAGCCATGCACCAGGAACGTACGAGTGCACTTACTGACGGAGAGCATGAATCCGAGAAGCGCAGGAATTACAACCCATCGGTATCGAGAGGTTGACCACAGCATAGAGAAGCGATATAGCTGTTATTTCGTTAGTACTCTCGAAAGGTCTTCGAATTACCGAGATGCCGCTTACCAATAACCCATCTGAAAACCACGCGTTTACGGTGTAGGCTGCAGTACCAATGACGTTAACTTTCACGGAACCTTCGTACGTCTCGAAGGCACCTGGTCCTCCGGGATAGTCGCGGTCGTCAACATACGCCATCTGCAAGAGACGCATCTGTGTGCCATTGCCTATAGATCCTAAGACGAAGACACAGGAAATGAAGGCGAGCATGCTGTAGGCACTCTTCGGCGAGTGCCGACGAGCGCTCCACCATGCGATAAAACAGAGGAAGAACAGCGTTATATGAACACCTGGAAGAAGTCTTGCGTTAGTGTAGGAAGTAAAGAAATAGATACAGCATACCGTATGCGATGTTGCCCAATTCAACGCCGACGAGGTTTATCCTGTCAAGCCATAACTGTGCAGATGTCTCGTCAGGGGCCCAGGACTGTGACATGTCGCGATATCGTAGCCGACACCCAGTGAGAAGGGCGATATGGTAGGGTTCGTCGAAGGTAGCAAGAGACGGATACTTCTGGGGCCACGGCGATGATGGTGGCACGCAGGTAGGGTACTTCGAGCGACACAAGTACGGGCGCCATGTACGGCATCGGCGATCTAAAGAGCGCTGTTATTGGAGAACAACCCTGCAGGGATCATGTGCTACTGCGCTGGTGTGCACGTTGTTCTCTCTAGAATTGCATAGATCGTCCGTATTATCGGCGCGATGCTCTGGCGCAAACTTCTCGCGCTCTAGATGCAATCAGACGGGGTGCTCGTGCAACATAGTCAGCATCTGGGCAAAGCGTCTACTAGAGATGCTTTACATGTGCAGTGTCAGTTAGGAATAGCTAGACTAAGAACTGCCGGAGCGGCAGCGGCTTACCGGCTCGCGTGGTGGCGTCCGGAATGGATGTGCCGTTGGCGATTTAGTGGATCCTGTTGGTCAGGACACCCCGGTAGCTATGATACAAATTTGCGCAACATCGGACGAAACTGTCATGCTATTTCCATCAGCTGCGGATTCAACATCACGGACAAGATGGAAGGCCTTACGTTGAGCATTTGCGCGGGGATAACCCTCCCCCCCACCTCTAGGCGACAAACAGGAACGTGTGTGTTGCGTGATGCATGAGGTTGGCCGATACTTGCATATAGGTGCCGATAATATCGCACAGCCGTTGGGGGCTCAACAAAGACTAGCGTTCGGTTGTAAGCTTTGTGGCGCTTGTAGCCCGGGGGGACAGTACGTGCTGCTTCTGGTTCGGTCACTCGTGGCGATACAGCGTGAAGAATGGAGTTGTCACAATTAGGCCAGGTGGTTCACATGTATCCCACGGGTCCCCTGGCTCGCCGGAGAGAAGACTCGAGTGTAGCGCTCGCCACGGAAGGCGAGCACAGCTACGGTTATGAGTCTTGCATTTGTTGCGCCTGTACCCGGATCCTGGATTAGATTAGTCGCAGTAGCTCTGCAAGTGAACAATTGCAATGCATGGAGCACATGGGTACTTACCCAGACATCTTTCTATGCAGATCATCATGTCGCACGAGCTATTGGCGGAATAAAGGCGTGGTATGCGGAACACCAATATTTTCGAGAGCGACTGAACGCGACCGGCACAAATACTCGTTCTCATACAACCAAAATATACGACTCAGGCTGACATTACGGGAAATCTTTCCTCAAGATTGTGAGGGTGAAGTCTTCAACACCGTTGCCACCCTTCAGGCTTTGCTCGCCAAAGACTCGATATCCGAAATGCTGATACATGGAAATCTAACCAATCCACAGTTAATTCAGGACGAGAGGAAAACTGAGGCGATGTGCTCACGTTATGTTTCTCTTCGGCCTCGAAGATCATGGGAATACCATCGGCTCTGGCCTGGGTGGGATTAGCACGCGAGATAGCAAAGCCACTGGGAGACAGAACTGACCAGTGCTTCGCCGGCTTCTAGGAGCGCTCGTCCAATCCCGCGTCCGCGGTATTCGGAGAGTACACCGAAGCTGTTCATTGTCCACGACGCATTCTTGACACCGGGGCCGATTGCGGCATCGGAGATGGCAGCGTACTCGGGCAGAAACTACAGTCACGAATCAGATGCTGCTCAGTAGGACAGGTGGGTACGAACCTTAGCAAACCAATCGAGGGCACTTTTGGGAAGGCTTTTCAAGAAGTCGTCGAACCCTTGTGACCTCTGCGTCTCGCTGAGTCCTTCAGCCAATATCCCAATAACGATTTATCTGTAGTAAACTCACTCTCCACAGATTTCGATACCGGGACCATAAAAGGCTATGGCACCGACAATGCGGTTGGTGTCATTGAGAAAGGCTCCGTACTGATGGGCACCTGCCGCCGCTCCAGCGGCCACACTCCGAGCAAACGCATGCATGAGCTGCTCATCTCCGGAGGTTCCGGCTCGCATAATGGAATCTACAGCATGGTGTGAGAAAATAATCTGCGCAAAACTGACAATTTGCTTACCGCCGTCCTTCAAGGTCGTGACTACGATACTGGCTATTTGATCCAGTTCATCTGCTGTAGGGAGCTTTGGCGGCTAATTTACTCAGTAAGTGAGAGAAATGGCTTACCTGTGGGCTTGACGAGCCGGCGAATAGTAACATTCTCAACCATTGTCATAAAGTGGAGGCTGGGGCGTTCAGATGGCTTGTCGCGGCGCGCAACGCGCTGACTTTATCCGCACTATGCTTTCAGCGGCGCCCCTCGGGGACATCTCAACAAAGAACACAAGTCCGAGTGGTCGAAAGACGTGAATAAGCGAGGGCGCTGATTCAGGTTGATGGTGAACACCGCGTTACGTGTCTTCAGGAATGCGAACGAGAGACTAACTGAAGCTGTACGAGTATGACCCGAGAAGATAGGCAGAAGTCGCTTTCGCATCATGGTGGAAACGGCGAATGAATGGAGGAAGCGGAGTTGCTAATTTTCGGCGCTTGAATCCCTTTTATCCCGCTCGTGCATACGATGGAAGGTGATGTGATGGAAATTCGTACACGGCAGCGACTGTCTTGACCACACGACCCAGGTTCGGAATTTACGGCTCCTCCCGGCCATGATGCATGAACATGAGGAGTTGATACTAACGTGGGCATAGTGCTACTGCGACCGGCGATATCTGATACGCTACTAGTATGCCTCCGAAGTTTACGTCTGGATCTGAGCATTTGGGCGTATATTTGGGGTATCTTGGTGCGTGAATCAGCCCGCACGGATTCTACTAGGAGAAGGGTCATCATGCTTTAGCTTGCCCGAAGTCACTGATTTCAGCAGTGTTTGTCACCGGCGGAAACAGCATGCTCACCTCAAGGGCTCGTCCGCGCCGTCCGCTACCGAGCTGAGGTTCCGCCAGGCGTAATAGTTGTCCTCAATCGCCCCGATAACCACGCTCCAGTCTCTGCATTGGCGCGTGATCCCTACCGGATGCTTGTCGAACTCCCGCTCCAGGAAGTCGTACGGCTCGAGCGTCGTGTCCGCCGCGCATAAGAACGTCCGGCGCAAATAGTCAAAGCAATGGCTGATGTGCCCAAAGCGCTCCCGGTTGCCCGTTCCTGAGAGAGCGTTTACGAAGACATGCACACAGTGCAGCTGGTGGTACATGGCGACTTGCAGCTTGCGCTGTTCAGGGCCCAGACGCACGAATCCCGCATGTGACCAGACGGGCCACAACATCGTCCATTCTGCATGCGACTCGGGTCTGTTGACGTCGTAGTGACTCGTTTCCTCGAAGGTCATCTCGGCACAGCCGACGTCCTCAGGGAAATGAGCAAGCAAGTATGCGTCCATGGCTCCTGCACAGCTGCCAATCAGAGGGGGAAAGCGAGATGCATGATGAGGGGAAGCACATACCATACTGTACGGCATCTGGTTGTAATAGATCTGGCGAGCGCACGACTTCGGTGCGACGGCTCATGCTCGCAATGCTCACTGCGACCGAAAGCACCAGCAGCGCTAGCACCGCCACAGTAGATTGTCTTGTCGACGACGCAGGCATGAAGCCTGAGGTCGAAGGTAAAGCGTAGGCGAGGTGATGTGATTTCTAACGCCTGAAGGCACTGGATGATCTGCGAGTACTGCGCCGACCCTGATGCAAAAAGATACGAACGACGGCGCCACCTCTTCTGAGATTTAATAGGCTGAAAGAGAGTGTACCCTGATTTATGCGCCGGTAACGAAACTCGAATGGTTCTGAAATCATGCGTACGTTTACACTTCGCCCATCGTCGCTTAAAGCCGAGAGGTGGCAGTCGAAATTCACAGACTCCATTACAGTGTGCCTTGGTCTATTCTCAAAGACAGTCTGGTGGAGCATCATGCAACTGAGAACAAAATGCTGCGAGTAAAGAGAATTTTTGTAGTAGAGGTATACATGAGTTTAGACTGTAGCGTACTGTATCATATACATCCCTACATTCCAGATTTAAACAAAAAGCTTTAAACCGACATAAACTTTGACTCACCAAGAGATGTTGACACACCGTCCTGCCAAAAGTCTGCGAAACAAGGATCGGCGCTCGGGCGACAAGACAGCTCAAAGGTCTGGATGGAGTCGCAGCGACACGAAAATTTCTCTGTGGAAGTCCTCGTCCCTTTCTGCAAGGACAGGGCTGCCATGGGAGACGACGTCCGTCTGTGGGGTCGACTGTCCCAGGATAGTGTCTGAACATCAACGAAGTCGTAGTCGTCAGCCTCGAGTCTCCACATGTCCAACGTGGCGGCCGGCTCGCTCATAGACACAGAAATATTCTCCGTGGCATTCTCAGCGGATTGAGGCGGAATGTTGATGACAATCTGACAAAGCTCCATGCCCCAGTCTCGAACGCGGAATTGGGCGATAGAGTTGGTCTGTAGGACGGGTAGACTTAATGATCTATGTTGGGGCGTGGATGCGTACTTACCGTGTTGTTCACGACGAATGGCTTGTCGTCAACTGAAACTGTCCCTTCTCCAGGGATAAACCGCCGGCGTGTGTCCACAGGAAAAACATATTGCGGCTGACTGCTAGTGACCTGCGTCAATACTAGGGGGAAGGTGACGATGGGGTCCGGAGGCGTGGCATTGAGGAACTTCCGATTAACCCTCTCCAAGCCTATGTACTGGTTGGGTCGAGGCAGGCGAGTAGTCCGGGGTGCCGGAGCTGACGAGGGGTGGGGAGCCGAGAAGAACAGCGCCAGGTTCAAGGTAGTGCAGAGTAGCGAGGCAATAACGGCCCATGTCTCGAAACGGCGAAGGATCCCGCCGCGACCAGAGTGAAGTTCTGTAGTAGGCTCTGTAAATTAGTGTACTCGCAAAATAGAATTCTTCGTTGCGTACCAGAGCTGTAAGCCGTCTTGGAGTTTTGTAGTCCGTCCTCAGCCTCTTGGGAAAGAGGTGTGTACAGCTTCGTAGAGAACATCTTGGCGAGCTGCCCGAAAGGCTACACTGCAGCGCGCAGAGGAAGAGAGGGCGAGAGGGTAAAGAAGCTCGGTCTGAACGCCTTCAGTACTCGGCGCTTTGCGGTAGTAGCATTCACCCAAAATGATGCGCGCATCATTTAGATCTTTGACTAGACAGCTTGCACAGCAGCGCACACCATGTGCTGCACATTCTCGCAGCACAGCCATGACAGCATTCATCGTCCGGAGTGTGAGACCCGCATCACGGAGGAATAAGTATAATGTGCGCGGACTCCGGGCCGACCACACTACTGATATCCTCCCCAGAGGAAACCGCTTTGACCCTGAGGCCAGCTGCGCCGGTGACACTCCGGGCTCGGACAGAAGCTGGAACCCACCATACTGCGGCGGTCATGTTGTGAAGCTGGGCGCGAGATTGGGTCGTTCTAGAATCTCGCCCGTCTGGTACGTTTTCCATAGTAAACCAAGTGCTGAACATTAATCCGCAGAGTACGGTTAGCTAGCACCGATGTTGTCTATCATTATCATACCAATCTTTTCTATATCGCTCCAATCTTTCATATATCGCCTTGAAGAGCCTGTGCAACATGGATGTTCTCGGTTGGCGGTCGCGCGAAAGCGGCAGGGCTACCTGATGTAACCAAGCGCCATACGTTGTTCCCACGGCTCTGCCAACCTCTGGTCCCACACCGCTTTTCGACGCAAGATGACGATAGATTCGGTCACCAGTGGTTATGATTACGAGACACAGCGACAACGCGAAGAATGTACCTCGCCTCATAGTCTGAATAGTGTGGAGACGATATGAAAGAAAGGGTTACTAGCGAGAAAGATAGTATCAGACTCCCTGGCCGAAGCGGCACATCAAGACGGAGGTGCATCGCACCCGACTGAGCGTTGGAACAGCTCATATGTTCGATCAGCCAGATAAATTTGCAAACATCTTTTGGAAGCACAACAAATTAGGGAGCAGCGCCCATGGCATGCAACCGTACGTACAACATCTATATGTCTGATACCGGATCAACGCTAGGCCTTGTCACGCAGCCTAGTTGCGAAACTCGTGGCTCCTAGGAGGCTCCCAGAGGTGCACATACGGTCCTTCCTCATCCTTGCACATGCGATGAAACCGTACTGCGTAGTATTCGTGACTGCTCTGCTGGCATTCTTGGCTATTCGTCCCTGCTGGGCACTCTGCAACGCCTTTCCGGGTGAGTGATCTCGTGTGCAGACTTGCAAAGCTCCGCTGACCGTATACTTGCAGGCGACGCCGTGAAGCATCTGGATGTGGGAGAGAACGGGCCCGTGAGGATGGTCGTTGACACATCGGCTCGATACCAACTCAACACATCCGTCGGTGCTCAAGAATGGGCCAACCTCATGCCATCCGGAGAGCATCTCATACGTCTGCAAGAGGGGGAGGAAACACAGACGTACAGCCTAGCCCTCTTCCACCAGCTTCGATGCCTAGACATCCTCCGGGACGACTACGTCTCAGGAAAGCCTTTGCCGTTGCGAAAGCACTGTCTCAACTACATCAGACAAAGCGTACTGTGCATTGCCGACACTCACCTAGAGTACAGCAAGGCAGGACTGTAAGTTCGGTCTGACCTTTACGAAGTCTCGAACGCTCATCTGTGCACGCGCAGTGCGGTGACACATTACATCGAGACGGTCTGCAATGATTGGACTGCAGTTCACAAGGCAGCTGAAAAGAATTTCGTAGAATGGAAGAGAGCTAATGGGGCTTGAAAAAAATGTCATTATTTTGACCTTGTAGTGGGGAGACTCAGACTGAGCCCTCGACTATAAGAGAAGACTTCGCTGCTTGTAATGGTACGACAAGAATCACTACATCAGCCCTCTGCTTATACATGCAGATTTCAGAACACAGTCTCACTCCCTGTCTCGATGTTGATCCTGGGCAGGTTGAGATGGTACTCGAGGAAACCGTGCGATACGACACCGGAAGCAAGCTGTCCAATATCGAGTGGCTATCGACAAGAGCTCCGTGGGGCCATGCAGGCTATGTCAGAATCGGGGAAGACCATCGCGCCTATGGTATCGCCATGGTACACCAGCTGCATTGTGTCGAGATGCTCGCACGGGCACTATTCGACCCTGACGACCCGAACGCCAGTCCACCGCACATCGCACACTGCTTGCAGTACTTGAAGCAGCTGTTCCTGTGCAACGCAGATACGACCCTGGAGCCGTACGATTTCATGTCACGCAATTTCACGTCTCATACTGTCGGTATGAGCCGAAACTGTCGTGACTGGACTGCCGTATACGTAGCCGCGGATGAGAACTACTCGCGTTGGACCGCGCTGGTGGAGTCTTCTGAAGACCGCCTGCGTCCGACGTGACGAGATGAACCATCTTTCCATGTAGGTTTTCTGCTCTGGTGGTTTCCATAGCTCTACTTAGAAAATTGCGTCTCCCGCAGGGACCTCCGGGGGTCGATAGCACACTCTGATAAAATTCTTCGGACTATCTTTTTTTCGGTAGCGACAAAGAGCATGAGTTCGCAAACCTAATATACATGAGCGAGCCGCGAGAGGCCCGGTCGTCCATTCTCCGCGCCCGGTCTCTTTCGGGCTTAGAGAGGTTTTTTGCCCCACGACATACGGTAAGGTGCATCAGGTTCGAGAGGCTTTCGCGGATCAAAGAGATTAGTAGCACGTTGCACCCGTACCACCCACTAGAAGTCGGCTGCGAGCAGACGGAGCTGCACGTGTGTTTGTAAGATGGACCATGCAGGAGAATGTCCGGCGCATGACAGAACAAGCGCGCCGCCTATCTCTAGTCTCCATATCAATGGGTGCCATGTTTCTGGACGCCCACGGCTGCGCTGGGTTGATCATGAGAAGAAGCTATTAGTTCCTTATGCGTATGACCACAGGCGTCCGAGTTGTATAGCCGTACCGGAGCGGTCATGTTCCAAGGAGCTTTCCGAACTCTGAGCGCGGATAGCAGAACGATCGAACGCGCTAGGGGATCCTGTAGTGGGCATAGTGTACCTCGCGCGCGTCCGCCAGCCGCTGGTATATATAGCTCATGTGAGCCTGCGACTCGTCAAGCTCAGCGTTCGTCGACCGACCACCATGCAAGCCCCACTACGCCTTGCAGCTATCATTGTGCTGCTCGGATGCGTGATGATAGCAGGAAACGCACTCCCTCAAGATTGCGACAGTGTTGGTGCGTACCATATTGCGACAATGGTGTCACTACTGCTAATAGTCTCTGTTTTAAAAGAGCCAGACTGGCTGAACCCAGACGATGCACCTGCGGGCAAGAGGTCACCCTGTCAGCCCACCTTCTAGGGTAAATGTCTCTTGCGAATGCTTCACAGTATTCTTGGCCTGACGTTCTGTATTTTTATCAGTCAGACAACACCCGTTTTTCTCCTGGCGACGTACCACAGAACTCAGGGCAAAATCATCCACGGAGTCACGGCTACGCGCTGTGTGGGGTAGGGAGAATCTTCGACCGCGTGCTGTGCCGTCATATGGATATAACTTAGAGCGAACTAATTGATGTAACGTAACTTCTTGAGCAGAAGTGTGCGTGCAAGGTGCCCTATCAAGGCCCTGTTTCTGACTACGCCCTGTGGAGATGTTCTGACATAGCTCACATCGGTTTGTCTTCTAATCTTAAATACAGCAGATGGCTTCAAGTCCAATTGGTTTCTTTATCAGCAATCTACGTTATGCGACGATGGTTAGCGAAGGGTAACTGGATGGGCACTTAGTGTTGACGTTTCCATTTATGCGAATCGAAGTAGACGTTATAAATTGGCGATTTCCCTTTCCGCCTTGTCCCGAGGTTACATCAATAGCTAGGAAAACAAGTCACATTTTGGAAGAGTCCTAATCTTAGTTATCAGCCATCTTCTCGAAGTTATACTTGCAAAGTTGCAACGCAAGGCTAGGCAGGCTGCGTTACACGTGATTGTGTTTGTTCTTGTTAGGATCCAAAGCCGTTGCAAAACATGGATAAATACAGTACATATTTCATTGGCTCGAGCTTCGCTGCATCTCGTCCCGCTCCTTCGCCTTCACTTGCACCAACCTTACACTTTGCATACGTACGCTAATATATGTTTTGCACACAACCTGCTTTAATGGGCGTGTTCACAACTGATGGGTCGCGCAGTGCGACACAGGTTGAACTTCAGAATTGGCGAGCAGATGCTTAGCGCAGAATTCCGGTTCAAAACCGGACGCCGTGCCTGCGTTGGGTCAGAGCAAGGCTTAGTTGTCGTGTTTAGAGCACTGATCCACTCGCAAAGTGCTCATCCTATCTCATGGTGAGCTACCAAAGTCGATTCAAGAGCCTGTCGGACCGCTTGGTGGAGCTGCTTGTTCTCTGTTTCTGTGGTCGCTTACGCGATCACAAAGAGATGAAACAGGGGGGAAAGGGAAGAAAGGAAGGAACCCCCTCGTTTAACTTGGGAAGGTGTTTCAAAAGGACTTCAGGAGCCCATTACCTCTCATTACTTCTTAGTCCTCCCGGAGAGCAAGCTCGACATCGATGGCCCTGACGATTCTCAACATTGCAAGGTTCTGAAATCTTACCCCTTATGCTCGGAGGCAGATCATGTTCGGTACAACTACATCTGGAGATCGGTCTAGACGTTTTCTACACTGCTGATCGCCTATTCATCAAGAATAGGGGCGTGTTTGCCACCCCTAGTCGTCCCGATCCCGGGATGAAACACGAAGTAGCTTATAAAATGTTGCCAAGATCCAGGGAACTGAGAGACACCTCGAGGAATGCCGACGGGCTTAGATGGTGAGTGTATCCCCCTTACTCCTGTCGTAACAGCTATCCATACAGAAGACAAGAGGATCAGAACTATTGTAAGAAGCGAGAACTCAGGACTTTCAATGTCAAGCGCACTGCGGATACAGATTTTCGGTCATACTGGCACTCAAGAACAAATGACAGGCAGAAAGCGGAAGCGATAGCCATAAATGAGCTTGCACCATCGAATAAGCAAGCAACCAAACATACCACGATGCATGCCTATTTTGTGCGCCTCGTTTCGAGACAGGAGCCTGGCACTCGGTGTAGCAAGATACATCGCCTTCCTGCGGATGAATTGCAATATGATCGACCCACCCCATCGGACTACTCAATTAGGTCCGCGAGCACGATCGCTCGAACATAGTTCATGCCTGCCTGCTGCAGCGCCATCGAAGCGCAAAACAATACCATTGTACTTACCCCTGTCTGGAATGGCAACGGTTCTCCAGGATCCTACCACCTACCTGCGGAGGGCTAGGAGATGCAGTTGTTGAACAGCTATAAAAGCTGTATCTGCTGTCCTATCCAAATCAGCCTCATCGAGACTCTCATCCAGCCTCCGCACACCAACTTTCCTCCCTCACCACCTTATCTACTACAATGCGCTCATCTTTCGTCACTCTCGCCATCCTCGCCGTCGTCGGCAGCACTATCGCAGCTCCGGCCCCAGCTCCAGGAAACTTCCTTCCCTTCACTGCCGGCCAAGGCGGCAACGGTGGCAGCGCTGTCAGTGGCAACTCGGGCTCCGCCAATGGCGGCTCCGTCTACACCACCGGCTCAGGATACGGCATCGTCGCCGTCGGCTCTGGTAAGCGCACCATTCCAAGCTCTCAGAGTCCCATCAGTCACGATACTAATCGACGCATGCAGCCAAGGGCGGTAACGGTGGTGTCTCTGCCTCGGGATCCGCCCAGGGCGGTAACGGCGGCAATGGAGGCAACGGCATCCTCGCTGGCAACGGCGGCACCGGCGCAAAGGCGCAGTCGGGCAACTCTGGAAGCGCGAACGGCGGATCGGTGTACACGTCGGGAAGCGACGTCTTTGTTGGATCTGGTAAGCACCTTTACCTGTGATCGTACCATGCACTGTTACTGACTTTCGGGCATAGCTAAGGGCGGGAATGGCGGGTTCAGTATCACAGGGAGTGCGACTGGTGGCAACGGCGGCAATGGCGGGAGCAGCAACGGGATCTTCTCTGGACTCGGCGGCAATGGCGCGACCGGTGGCACGGCCGTATCTGGCAGCTCTGGGTCAGCGAATGGCGGGTCTGTGTACACGAGCGGCAGTGATGTGTTCGTTGGCAGTGCACAGGGAGGCAATGGTGGGGTGAGCAAGAGTGGGAGCGCGACCGGTGGGAAGGGCGGCAATGGTGGTGCCTAAGCTGATTCTTTCTCTTTTTCTTTCTCTCAATGGATTTAGAAGGCGGATCTGTTTCGTTCGTCACTCTTTGGGATATTGGCGGCCTCTCATACGCAGGCTGGTAACTTTGGGTTAGATTGTCAGAGCGGAGACTTAGACTATCCATATACTATAGATGTATGCTTGCTCGAGTCTATCTTGTGGCCTCAAGGCCGATGACGTGGTGACATTCAGGTTGAGTTTGAGATATGCTCTATCTCTGGTACTAGACTTGAAGTGCAGGTAGTGCAGCGCAAAGAATTCAACTCGCCTCGTAGCAGCTGTCAATCTCTGCTGAACGTCGATTAACGTGCTCGCTACACTGAATAGGCGACTAATCAAACGCATCAAGCGCATCAGGCGCACCAAGCGCATCGCTTTGACGGCGCGTGTTCTCGACCTTAATATGTTACCGAGCACAGAGGTTCGGTTACGACGCTTACCTGCGGGGCTGTGGATGCCGTAGTGCCTTCTCGCGCCGGACTACGTTGGTGGAGTCTTCCGAAGTCAATTTCGTGGCCAATGTGATGAGCTGAGCCATCGTTCTACGTGAATTTTCTGCTGCGCCGCCGCCGCCGCCTCAGGCTGGCGGTTTCTATGGATTCGTCTACTCACGAGTTTGCGCTTCTCGTGACAACGCTCGGGGTTATGCATGCCGGGCTAGCTCCAGTGTCCATCATACAATGAACATTCTCCGGCCTGATTCTTTGTCGCGGCGGCAGCAATGACCGTGGCAAACCTAATACACGGGCGAGGCGCGAAGAAGGAGATGGCAGCGGCGGAACTCGTTTCCTTCGCATCTCGCGCGCGTCCTTTATCGACACCACCGTGGGCTTTGAACCCGATTACTCAACCTCCGCGCCCGGCATCCTTCGGGCATAGACTCGGAGAGGAATTCTCCGTCCGTGCAATCACGCATTGGTGCGCGCAGCACCGTGACATTGCTCCCACACCGCCTGTTCGCAGTCAGCTGCGAGTAGACGGAGCTGCGAGTGTGCTATGAGGGTATTTCGTACTGGCTGATGGCCAACGCATGGTGCTATCTTGTCACTAGTCTCCATCATAATACCGATTAGTATCGTACTTCCACGGGCGCACCATGCCGATTCTTGGTTCTTCATGATCATAGGCGTCATATCAGGAATCTTCCGATATATCAGCGCAGGTAGCAGGACGATTGGGCGCAATAAGGGATCTCATAACAGGAATCGGGCCCCATTTTGTGCACAGCTGTATATATAGCCCATGTGAGCCCAAGACTCTGAAAGCTCCAGGATTAGTCGACTACCGCTATGCAAGCCCGGCTGCACTTTATGACTGTCATTGGGCTGTTCGGACTTATGCTGATGACGGCACAAGCTCTCCCTCAAAACTGCGGCAGTGCTGGTGCGCGTTGTATCATGCTAGTAGGGACGTTGCCGTTGACAGTTCCAGTTTAGAGGAGCCAAGCTGGCTGAGCCCAGAAGGGGACGCGCTCGCCATCAAGAGAGCAGGCTGCGCGCCCACTGAGCCCACCTTTTGAGGTGAACTTTTATTGCGTTAGCTTCATACAACCTTGCCTGATGTTCTGCATCGTTCCTTCACCAGATTTTATAAACACATGTCATATGTCCCAGCAGAGACCACCCACGTCACATCTGTACGCCGTACAGAATGGCCATCGCAGGCTTGTATGTATGCGGATCGAGATAATCCAATCGGACTCGGTATCCCCTTCGAGCCAGGGTGTGCATGCATGTCGTCCTATCTCTGAGGCCTGCTCGTTACCGCGTCCCTTGAAGATTTTCTTAAGCAATTTGTCCTTACCTGCCTTCAGATCTCGATGACAACAGACAAATTATCTGCTCAGCTCGCCGATAGGTTTCATACTATCTAGTGGCAGTTAGTGAAGGGAAAGTCCGAGTCCGTTATGTAGACATGGATTGGACTGCTGGTGGGTCGGCGCGGCCTGAGTTTACGCGAGCAAATGAACACGAGAGAATGTCGCACGTCGAAAGGCACCTACGGCTGGCTGTCAGTCCATAACGTCTCGGGCGTCGTGCGCGCCAGTGTAGGGCCCGCTGCTACGCATGTGATTTATATTTGTGCCTGTTAGGATTTAAAACCGCTGCATAACACAAGCAAATAAGCTACGCCCTGTAACGTGTAACGTTCACTCTCAACGTTTCTAAAACTTGACTCCGGGTGGGACTTTGCTATGTCTCACATCATTGGCCCTCTGCCTTCTCCCGCTGTGCCTTAGGGCCCTGCATCATACACATGCGACCTTCGGTCTAATATCCTTGTTTGCGACTGGTGGGCTGTCAGTACTAACGCAGCACGGGTCCAGTCTCGTCGGCGAACAATAATCCAGCCTCATTCAGCGGACGCTATGCCTTCCCTAGCTCAAAATAAGGCTCGGCTGTCAAGGTAAATGCACCGTTTCGCTCGCAGACTGTTCATCTTACCCCAGGGCAGGCAACCACGTTCTGGGTATATACACCACCCATTTGATCAATTTTTGCTTCGATTCGCTCCCGTTAGGTTTGCTTGTCACAGAGTGTTGTAGTTACAAGCACATTTATAACCCAAACTCAGCACAAAAACTCAGCAAGATCCCGATCCCTAGTTTCCTCACCAGCTCCTCAGCTGTACGAAGGCGAATCGTTTGCGCCTATGCTGTCGACTCCCGCGTCGCAGGCTTCTTCTTGCGCTTCGGTTCAGGCAGATCATCCCAGTTGGACCGCTCTCCAGGGTCTGTTTGGATGGTAAAGGGGGGCTGTTCGGGAAAAGCTCTCCACTTCTCCTTCTCGAGTATCTCCTCTAGCTTGGGACAGAAGCTCATCGCCGCCTGACCCACAATTGTGGTCTCTTTCTTAGAGATCGTTCGCCCTGCAATATCCTTCATAAAAGCGGATATCGAAGCGATTTCGGGGTCGTCGAGCGCATGCTGAATGTAGCGGACAGCCTGGTGAAGTCTGCTATCACGGAGGGCCGAGACGCGCTTGTGTTCGGTGTGATTACCAGGCGCATTGGTACGTATCTCCCGGTTAATGAAGAACGCCGGGGTAATGTCGATAACGAGGTCCTTCCACGCTGGTGGCGTATATTGCTCGCTCTTTACCACCGTGCAGAAATTGAACGTGAACATCCCGACATCGAGAATGACCTCCTCACCGCGGATAGTGGTGAAGTAGAGCCAGAAGTGCTCTTCGGGATCTTGTCCGAGGACATACGTGCCGTTCGAGCGCCGCTTGTACACTAGCCGATCGCTCTCATGCACGTACACGGAGCCGCGAGCGATCCCGAAGTCTGCGATGGGCGATGTGCGGTACTGGAGTCGTTTGCGCACGAGATTGGAGCCATATACAGACGTCGTTGTATACATCTCGCCGAGCAGGCTCACGCAAAGCGCAGTCAGGATCGGCAGCAGGTGCCCTTCGCGCATGATCCGCTGCATCATCTTGGCCGCGACAGGTCTGGACTGTGCAAGCGGCGCCCAGTCCAGCGGGTCCATGAACAGCTTCTGTTCTATGTCATCAATCTCGAGAAGCTTGGCGAGGGCGCCGTTTGGGAGTAGCGAAGGGACGAGTGAGGGGTTAATGTCGTTCACAACCCGAGACAGCATTGCGAAATGCGGAGGGAGCATGAGGCTGTGCACAGCGTCAGCCAAGACCGCCAGCACTGGGTAGAAGGATTCAAGATTGATGCGGTGGGTTTTACCTATGTGCGTGTGAGACATACAACGATATTACCAGTAGGGCAAGACGTACCACACTTCAGCTTGTGCTCAGGCCAGTCTCGTCTCTGACATCTTTCTGAGCAGTAGATACGCTAAAGCAATTAAATATCGAGTTGCTCTGAAAGCATGGCTGGACGTACCTCTCCACACCGAGAGCACAGTGTAAGCCTCGTTCCGCTGGTGGCGTCTTTCCCCTAACTTGTTGTCCCGCAGACAGCACAACCCTTCGAGAGGTCGCACAGAGGCAGGTAGACATTGCTCATATTGTGAGATCTTCCGCAGTTGCAGTCGGAAATATTGTTGTGCACAGGAGTTATTACACTCATGATGGTAGGGGGTCAGCTTGAAGTCGGGCTGATTCACTCGCCGACTGCTTTCGGGCGCTTATCCGTCGGAAGCAACTATCTTCGTATCCTCGCCTGAGGATCACACAAGAGAGTACAACAGGTGTGTGGAAAGCTTCTCGACCATTTATTTCCTGATCCTTCACAGGGAGATAGTGTGTTTAGGAGTATGGTCGCCATGATGTCCAAACAAGGGTACAACTTGAATGCCATTGTTACGCCTCGATGGTGCGACAGAGGTGGGCAGCAGACATAGAAGCCAGGAAAAAGGAGGTTTTACTCACCTGCAGACCTCTCAACGTTGTTACTGATCTCGTTCAATTCTTGAGATCGTTGTTTCACTTTGAGATCGAGCCCGGGGGCAACCAGGGGTGACTAGCTACTACCGGTTCGGTCGACATCCCGTAGGATGTACTATTCGTGCCTGGTCGAATTTCAGTAGATAGAAGAGTATTTCCCGATGAACTAAACCTTACAATATTAATGTTGATGATGATTGCCCTACCACCACACCTGGATCGACGCACGGGTAAAGCCTCAAATGGTGATGAGGAACATCTTTATTCGTCGAGTGAAGGTTCTTCGGCGTGCACATCAATCGCCCGCCAGTCGAATACGACCAGTCGCCCAGAGATAGTGTCGGCATCGAGCGAGCAGTCGGATGGTTTGCCTACCGTCGCAACCAAGTCTTGGCCGTGGTGAGCGCAGAGTGTCCGTCAGCTCGATTCTAGGCAGCTTGTCAAATGCCTGCCCACGAAATCACGCCCACGTCGCGCTGTAGAGCTTTGACTCCAGTAGGGATGAATGAAGGTTTGTAGGGTCCTAATGCTGGGTTCGCCTGTGCTAGAGCCTCGTCAGTGTAACTTACGTCATGTGTAAGTTAAGCTGACGCTGGTCTCATCGAAAGTACCGCTCTCGAAAAATTTGACGCCTTATCTGCAGCTGTAGCTGCAACATTCACGCTTCAGTGAGGTCTTATCATGATAAATATACCACGCGCCAGAGCTCTGCAGAGAATGACTTCATATTTCGAGCGAGATGTAGTGGAACTGGGTCTTGCGAGCCGAACGGCAGACCTTTCGTTCTTTGTGGGGATGGCATAGAAAAAAGCGCACTTCGAGGGCCGCTTTCAGGCATTCGGTAGCTCAACAAAAGCTCTAGCGCACATAGCCTTGTAGCTCTCCTCGCTGTACGGCCGATATCTATAGCGAAAATGCGGTTCCGTTCTGTTGGCAGACGTCAGCAGGCGAAAAAAGCGGAGGAGAGTGCTGCCGCCTACGCAGGAGGCACGTTGATATAGCTGCGGCGATGCGTAAACATATCAAAGCTATCCTTGCTATGATATGCACCATCTGGAATGGGAGGTGAGTAGCTCGACAGCTATTATGCATCACGCATATACACACAGCCAGAAGCGCCGTGCCCTCCGAAAGGCATCTCGTAAACTGCAAATGCTATAGGTAAGTCCACAGAGATACAGGCACCATACTCGTACATACCGGCAAGCTGGGTGAGTGTGTCATTGAGCACAAATGAGCCACTGTTGGTCTTGCTGAGGACTGGGCGAACGGTATTGTAGCTCCGCACTGCGTGTCAAAGAAAGTTTATGGTACCATACCTTTTTCTTTAGTCTCTTCGCTGTTCGTGAATATGTACATGACGAGAGGATGAGGACTAGTGCGAAGCCATCAGAATATGTACAGGCATGGCAGCAACCAAGCATGCACACCGTTTTGCGACGATGCGAATTGCTTCGTCAACGTCCTCGACCTCCACCACAGGTAAGATAGGTCCGAAGATTTCACTAGTCAAAACCGTGGTCAGCACGTATCACCTACGGCATAGCCACGACACTAAAATCTTACTCATCCATCAGAATATCGTCCAACTTGACGTCCGCGACAACTGTGGTCGCAATCCGAAGCGTACCAGGGTCGCTCTGGCCGCCGAGGATTACGTTTCCCTTCGTGTCTTTTATTAGTTGTTCAATGCGACGGTAGTGGTGTTCATTGACGATCTTCGTCAACTTCGACTCAGGATGAAGAGGATCGAGTGGGAAGAACGTTGCGTGGGCCTTCTTCAGGCTCTCGTAGAATGGCAGCGCAACAGATCGCGGGACCAGGACATAGTCGGGAGCGACGCAGAGCTAGATGCGAGAGTTTAGCGTGCGCTGCTGAGAAGCAGGGGTGTTACAGACCTGGCCGCTGTTATGTACCTTCCCGTACAGCGTCCTCTTCGCTGCGAGCTCGATATCGCAGTCAGGGTCGACAATAACCGGGCCCTTACCTCCGAGCTCAAGTGTGAGAGGCGTAACAAACTGCGCCGCTGCTGCTGCAATCTGGCGTGCGATTCGGATTCCCCCGGTGAAAAAGATGTGACCCCAAGGCAGATCGAGAAGGGCGGTGGCTTGAGAAACCGCCCCCTGCACCACGACATAAGCTTGGGGATCAAGGTATTTCGGTACCAGGGAAGCCATAAGTGCAGAAGCCGCAGAAGTGTGCTCTGATGGCTTGAGGACGGCTGGACAGCCGGCAGCGATGCAGCCGACCAAGGGGGAAAAGGTAATCCCGATAGGGTAGTTCCAGGGACTACCGAGAACGTTAGGAGATGAGAACTCGGGACTTGAGAGAAGACTGACGTGATGAGCAGAGCGACGCCTTTGGGAACGGGATAGACCGTAGCGTCCCATGAGCTACGCCATTCCTCAACTCGAGGCTTCTCAGGGTTGGTCCAGTCTTCAAGGTTGTTCATCGCGGTGATGCATGCTTGAATGACTGGGGCGGCCTCTAAAGCCGTAGTTTCCTGAGGATGCCTCCCAAGGTCGGCCATCAAGGCGTCCTCGAAGGCAACGATGTTGTCCTGGAGCATGCGAGCGAGCTGAATGAGCTGGCGCCGGCGATAGAGTGGTGGCCTGGTGACCCCAGAGTTGAAGTACTCGCTGACACACGCATGAATCTGGAAAAAGAAGTTTGAACATCGCCATGTGTGATAGACATCGAATATTTACCTTGGGAATCTCACTGAGCGTTGTGTAGTGGGCTTCGGCTGTCATTATGAGCGAGTTCGAGGGTCAGGGGACTGTCGACAAGGTCCGTGTCGATGTTGGCCCGTGTGTTCTGTGGTTATATACACCAAAGGCATAGTTGTTCCCCGGTGAGAAAGCTAAGCGGGCCGAATACAAGCGCTTTTGGAAGGAGTCTAAGTAGTCCCGAATACTGGCCGTCGTTCGAATTGCCACCGGAAGATGCCAAACTATTAAGGTAGGTCCTGCAGCCTCAACGTCCGTGACGTGCAAAGACTATCACGGAAACAACTTGTAGCTTGGTAGGGGCCGCAATGCTCAGGCTTTCTGAGGGGGCATCATTCGCCATGAGACGTGAGGGAACGCAGTGGAGGACAAATTCTCACTGTGGGAGATGCAAAAGGGCTGAGCTTTACGGGTCGTCGCGTGTCAAATGAAAGCGTACTATCTCACTTCTTCGCTGCTCGTGTACATACAAAGCACGAGAGGATGAGGGCTAGCATGAGGGTATTGGAACATGTCCAAGCAGAGGCACGATCAAACGGAACATACCGATCTGAGACGACGCAAAGTATTTCGTCATGTCCTCTACCGCCACCACGGCCAAGATAGATCTTGATATTTTACTATTTGAGATCATCGTTAGCTTGTATCGTCTCGAACACTATCGCAACGCGAAATTACTCATCCATCAATGTGTCGTCCAGTCTGATGTTCGTAGCGATCGTAAGGGAAATCCAACACTTTCAGCGTAACACTTTGCAGGGCCACACAGGCTACCAAGGATGATGTTTCCTTTCGCGTCTTCAATCAGTTGCTCAATACGGCCGTACTCGCTGACGATCTCTTCCCATTTTGACACAGAATGAAAACGAAGAATGCTGCATGGCTCTCTTCAGACCTTTGTGGAATACCAACGCAACAGATCACGGGACCAGCACGTAGCCAGAAGCGACATGGCCCGGCATAGAGTAGGATCTGAGAATTCACCATGCACAGCTGAGCATCCCGAGTAGTAAGAATATTACACACCTGGCCTCAGTTCTGTATCTCCCTATACGGCGTCCTCTTGGCCGTGAGCTCGATGCGGCAGTCAGGCCCGATGAACACCGAACCCTTGCCTCTGAGTTCAAGTGACAAAGGCGTCGCAGACTTCGCGGCCGCGGTAGTGACGTGTCGCGAAGCCGGAATGCCCCAGTGAACAAGATACCCGAAGTCCTACGTGAAGCGAACACTACGAGGGTTGGATGCAAGCGTCTGTGAGCAGAGTGCAGTCCTGGCTTCTGACTGTAACCTCGGCTGCCGCCAGTCAATGCCAAAATGCCACAGCGAGCCTTGCAGCCTCAGGCCTCAGCCTTCGCGGCGCGCGATAGGCGCGTCACGGCAACAGCAGAGTGTGCGCGAAAGAGCATGATCTCGACTAACGTTAGAAAGATGCGCTCATGTCCGATAGACTATGAGGGCCATAACGCACACGCTGTGTATCCCGGAGTCTGATACTGCGCGGTGAGTACAAGAACCGTGTAATTTCCATCTCCGCAAAAGGGCTGAAAAGCAAGATCAAGTTCTTATGGTTGGCAATGAGCACAAGAGGGTGCTGCGACATTCACGGAATGGCTGAGGACGAGACTACACAAGTATATGGAGGTCCCGAAAAGGGCAGGATACAAACACATCCCTAGACTCTGTGTTGGACGTGCACGACATGGTGGACGGGAGAGAGACCGTCCAGCCCACGCGAGGGCCACGTGGAATGAGCGCTTTCCTCCGAGCCCGACGGTGAACTCGACCTTGCACTATTTTGCATGCACACGCCCCATATCCCGCTTTCCAGAGGTCGCGTTTTCAATCCTCCCATCGAGTGAGCTACGACCATTTTAGTTGAGAAACACCGGTGAGGCCTTCTTATAAGGACCCGCTCGATGTCCAGCGGAGAGTCTTCAGCAACCGGCAGAAATAACGGAGTGCAGTGCGTCAGGTCGTCAGGCTATACCTTTGGTGAGCAGAATTAACCTCTAATCTCTTATTTTGTCTCTGATTGCCTTCTTCGGCTGCTCGTCATCCCTGAAGACGCCCCTGCATTAAGCGATACCGCGGATTGACGTTCATCTGTCCGTGTATATAAGCTTGGCGGACTGTTTGCCGTACGTGTTGACCCCTCTTGCTGCTACTATGTCTGAGAGAGACCTTCCTGAAGAGCTCGTCCTCTCCATCCTCGCCCTCTGCTTTGATCTGCCCTGTGAAGATTTCCTGCGCTTTCCAACAGCAGACGGCGCTCGCAAGAGCACATCGCGAAACACCGACCTCTTGCTGGTCTCGAAACGATGGCTGCGCGTTGGCTCGCCTCTGCTCTTCACCTCGCTTCGCCTCTCCCACCCGTCTCACGCCACCAGCGTCGCCCACCAGCTCCGCTGCAACCCCGGCCTAGGCAGCGCGATTCGCAATCTGCGCATTGAGGGCGACTGCGGGGACAATCTCTGCGAAGTCCTGGAGCTCGCGCCGAAAATCGAACGGCTTTACATCGCCCTGGACCAGAAGACCAATACCCGCACCGAGGGCCTACGCCGAGCCTTTGCTTACACAAACCCGAAGGAGGTGTTTATCATGGACATGACGCGACTCCTGCGCGCGTTCTCCATGTTCCCCTGGGGCACAAGCGTGCGCGCGGATGAGGCAATGGCCGCTGCCGAGCATGCCATCGCCGAACATTGGACCGAGCTAGTACGTAACACGCCGTCTATCTGCACACGTCCTGCTGAGCAAAGCGTCGCGTTCTAGCGCTGCATCCACTTTGGGCCGTGTAGCGAGATCACCCCTTCGCTGTTCCATGCACTTGAGCGGGCCAACGCTGCGAGAGCGCAGCAGTCATGCCCTCCACTACGAGTCAAACGGCAGCGCGCATCCGTTGGAATATGGTGACACGGGGAATTGTGAACCCTGTACCGATCGTCCATACATACTAATGGTGCGTACATCCCGTTCTATTCTTACCCGATCTTAACGAGAATACTCGTGGTACGACAGATATAATACGCGTAATCCATATATTTGCTGCACGCAATTCCAATACTTTTCGAATCTCAACTAGTGACGGGAGAGACCG